ACTATATGTATTTTTTTTTATTCCAATCCATTCTTTTTTTGCAGCATTTAAATAACCATGATCAGATTTGATGGTTTTGTTACAGACTTTTCAAAAAAGTGTTTTGCATTTCTTTCACAATTGTGGGGATTAAATTGTGTTAAAATGCACAAAACAGTGATGTCATGTTTTGAGACAAGGACCCCGGCACAGAGAGACTTGATGAATTTAAGAATCTTGTGATTTAATAAAGAAATTTGCAGACTTGCACAGAGATGGTAAAATTATGATGACTGATAACGGAGATGAAGACAACAGACAACGAGGACAGGGAGGATGCAGGGACTGACAGAGACAGGGAAGAAGTCTCATTGTGACGAGTAAAGTGTATCTTGGCTGGCTGAGCAGCTCTCTGAGCAGCTCTCACCCCCAAAGCTCTTATCCTAGAATCGCCCCTGGATGCAAGGTGTTTTCAAACCTTTGAGCCAAATTTCTCCTATACAAAACATGCAGCAGTCTGTGCCAGGCTTACTTTAAGACTGTTGGTTCCTGTCGAGCCTACACAGTACTGGTCAGTGCTGTACCAAAGCTTTAAATGCTAGAAAGAAAAAAAATAAAACTCTATGCATGGGTAGTATTTAGGCATTAATAATTTTAATTATAATTTTACTATGACCTGACACATGAGTTTTCTGACAAATATATAACAATGAAGGATTTAACATTTTTGAGCAGAGGCCTGTGCTGCGAAAAGAAATGAAACATACCCAGTGCATGAACTAGTGAGGGTATACTGTAGGACAAATACATACTATAGGGAAAATATGAAATGATTATCCATACAGCAGAGCACTACATTTTAATATTAATGCTTATAGAACAACAACATTGTTTTGTGTGGTTTTTAGCACCAGACAAAGGAGAATAATAATATAAGTGTGTGACTCTAGGAAAACAGCTCAACAAACTTTAATTTAAAGCAGTGGTTCAACTTAAGAAATTAACGATTTGTTCAAGCAGTGTTATCCTCTCTCCTGTTGCACTTTGCTGTGATTGGGTGATCTAATGATGACTCATAAGAAACAATAAAATGACACAAGCACCAGATATATTAAAACACTTCACTGTGGTGTCATACACTATGCTAGAGGACCACTGGTTTAAGCACAAAGTTTTTATGAGTTTACCGTGGATAATGCATTCAACTCTTGTTGGTTATTTTCTTTGGGTGTTTTTTAATGTCTTCTTAAATACGATTTGTATTGTGTTCTTTGATGTTAACAGTACTAAGTCACTAAGTGTGGAGGGAAGTGTTGTGGAAAAAGAAGGAACTGCGATGACAGAGCCAATGCATGGTTTAAAGATCAGGGGAACGAGAAGTGTTGATTCTAGTTTATCTCAGTGTGTAAAACTGGGAGGCAGTGAGCTCCCAGCCTTGCACTCTGATGGGGATGTTGTGATTGGAGGGTTTTTCCCTCTGCATTATGTTGTCACTGAGCCACAGCACGGCTACAACAGTAAACCTCAAATTACATCATGCAGCAGGTGTGTGTAGTATAGTGCTTTTTTTTCTTCTTCCTTAGAACACTGAAAAGTCAAAAAGGCATAAGCTTTGACCATATTGCCATGTTTTGATAAGACTGTTTAAATGATATTGTTTTATTAAATTAATAAATACGTTATTGAGTTTTTCTTATCTACAGCTTTTATCAAAGAGCCTTTCGCTGGATGATGACTATGGTGTTTGCAGTGGAGGAAATTAACCATAATTCAAGTCTGTTACCAGGTGTTGAACTAGGCTACCATATCATGGACTGCTGTGACCATATCCCCACCGGCCTGCAGGCTCTTTTTTCGTTACTCAGACACTCTAAAACTGTCGACAGTAAGGTTGAAAAATCAGCAGATACTGAATACAATGGTATCAACGGGGAAGGGTTAAACACTGTAAGACTAACTACAAAAGAAATAATGACCACATTGAAAAATAGAAATGAAATCTCAAATAGT